AGTTTTTTTAATATAACTTCTACTGTGGTAGACTTGAAAAGGTGATATTTTATCAAAGTTTGAGAGGCACATCTTTTTAATAGTAGTCGAACTGAGTAATCGAAAAATTGCATCAAACGGTATAAAAACCTAACTTCAAAGTTTGCATGGGACAATAAGCTTAAGCAACCCCTGTTTCTACGACACTGTGTTCACTCGAATAATTGTAATTATGTGTGAATATGTGTTTTGGTAGTAAGTGACTGTTCGCAAAATATCACCTTTCCAAGACTACCATAGTAGAGGTTATATTAAAAAAACTGATATGATAAGTAGCACTTTATCACCCTGTATCTTGAAAACATAAGTAATTAGGAAAAATATTTATTTGGGGTTTCGTCTTATTTTGACTTGCTTAATATTTTCCTAGATTTATGCCAATAAGTTTAGGGACACCTTGTATATTAATTTTATATATATATAGACCAGTGCAGAAGCCTTTAAAAATGGTAAAAAGAGAAAAAAAATAACAGTAGGATAAAACCCATTGGAAAAGGAGGGGAAAATAATAAAAATTAAAGGAAAAATAAATTACGGGCGATCTGAGTTCGGGAAGTGGGAGGGGGGGGGGTTTAAGGGTAAAAAATGGTTTATCTCGATTTTCGGCAAAACTACAAGTCCTATGGAAAAAAGTTAAATGTCAAAGTTGTAGGTAATAAAAAGATCTACAACTTTTGTATTTGCAATTTTTTCTCATAACCTCAAATTTTATGTGAAAAATTCAAAAAACCAAGTTTTTGTTTTTTTATTTTTATCTTTTTCAAAAAAAAAATTTTTTCCACGAAATTTGGTGAAAACTTACCTTTTTATGTCCCAAATACACTGTAATTTATTTGATTTGAAATATTTATTATTTCGCCTTATTTTGACTTAATATCAAAAAGCACCCTAATTTTCAATCGAAAATTCTCGCGTCAAAATATCAGCTTTTTTCAAAAAGTCGGTGTGCTTTTTGTTCATTGAACTCTCTACTTTCTGATGGTGTAAAAAAAATATACATTACTATGGTAAATGTTCTCAGAAAATACAAAAAATATTATAATGAATAACGTAATCAGAATGAAGTATCTAAATTCAATAGTATGATTTACATGTATTTCTATATTTTATGAGATTTTCTGACATAAATGTTATTAGAATTTAATAAATAAAAAAGTTTAACTCAAAAAAATTGCAAAAATCACATTTTTTGATGAAATTGTACATAATGATTAAAATAAATTTTCGAGTTTTTTTCGTTATTCATTATAATATTTTTTGCATTTTCTGAGAACATTTACCATAGTAATGTATATTTTTTTTACACCATCAGAAAGTAGAGATTTCAACGAACAAAAAGCACACCGACTTTTTGAAAAAAGCTGATATTATGACGCGAGAATTTTCGATTGAAAATTAGGGTGCTTTTTTGATATTAAGTCAAAATAAGGCGAAATAATAAATATTTCAAATCAAATAAATTACAGTGTATTTGGGATATAAAAAGGTAAGTTTTCACCAAATTTCGGGGAAAAATTTTTTTTTTTGAAAAAGATAAAAATAAAAAACCAAAAACTTGGTTTTTTGAATTTTTCACATAAATTTTGAGGTTATGTAAAAAAATTGTAATTACAAAAGTTGTAGATCCTTTTATTACCTACAACTTTGCCATTTAACTTTTTTCCATAGGACTTGTAGTTTTGCCGGAAATCGAGATAAACCATTTTTTACCCTTAAACCCCCCCCCTCCCACTTCCCGAAGTCAGATCGCCCGTAATTTATTTTTCCTTTCATTTTTATTATATTCTTCTCCTTTTCAAATGGGTTTCATCCTACTGTTATTTTTTTTGGTTTCAAAAATTATCGACCCTGGTCTAATAATATATATATAATCTCTGTTTTTATTTAAATTAATTCACGCTTAGCAAGTAACAAATCTCTTGTTTCGCAAACAATAAATAACCAATAAGTGGCCGGCAAAGTGACCCTTATCCTTTAAAACCCCTTTAAAGGATTTATGAAGCATGTGCAAATATTGCGCGACGTTCCCCAGGATGTAACCTGTCCTTGCGACGGCCGAACGGCCATGATTTATGCGCGTGGATAACGTTGTGCCACAATTTAACTGATATAGTCCTGTCCTGAAATATAGGGTGATTCATACAAAATGAGATACAAAAGAATTTATCAAAAATTTAAAAATATAATGTCTAACTACCGTCCAAAGTTTAGAAACTATTTAAAACTATAAGGAAAGTTATTTTTTTTATCCTAAAATGTCACTTTTAATGCTGAGTAATGCTGTCTTCTAACATGAATGAAGGTTCATAATTGGTATAGGTATACTCTTACACAGTAAAACAATATTAGTTAATTTTAAACAAATATCTACCAGATTTTATGTTAATCCAGGTCGACCTAACTTTATGTTAAGTTTACAACCAACTGTAATCTGTTAATAAGTTAATAAGTACTTTGTACGAGTATGAGTATAAGAGACGTAAATCCGCCCCGAGTTCAGTAGCTGGATATGTAACTTTTAGCTTTTGATGTTTTTTTTTAATTGTTTATTGCCGCAGTAGTGCGAAATTTCTAACAATTTTTTTTAGTTATTGTGTTGCCCAAGCACGTTTTGAGGTAGTTTTGTCTTTTTTTCTTAAAATCCAAAATCAAGTATTGCATTTATTTATTAGTTAAACATTCTGTTCTGTTCTGTTATATCTAATGTTTACAAATCCAATAGAGTTTGATTATTATGCTTTTTTTACTATGTTGTATGATTAATGTGTTAGTTTATTCTGTGCGTCTATTGTTTATTATTGGTCTCGTTTGGGTTTGCCTTACGCATTTGTTGTTGACAGATTTATTGTCCTACACAGCTTTGGTGTGTCACCGCGATAGTTCGATTGGGAAGTTTTGTCTTTTTTCTTTATTATTTTATGATGTTTGGTTAGTATTGTCTTTCTAATGTTTCTATTGTTATTGATGTTTTTTTTAAACAGTGTGCCTTTCTTAGGTTTTTAAAAAAAATCTGGCGTGTTTAATTTGCAAATTATGTGTTAGGTCATGCATATGCTTAAGGATACTTATCAATTTTTTGCGGATGGCCACTTCCCCTCTTGTTTGACCTCTTTTGCTTGTCTAGTGAAAAGCGTCCAATGACAGGTGGTATACATATAGAACCAGAAGCACTTCACTCTTTATTGACCGCTACACTATTTTAGTTTGCACTTTATGAAAATAGTTTGTTTTACTATAATTGGTTTGCACTTTTTTAAAAAATTATTTTTGGTTTTAATCTTTTACGTTTTAAGAGCTCTCGCTACAGTGCGTCGTGCCTTCTCAAGTGCTGAAACCTGACTGCTAAGTTAATAAGTAGTTATAAAAAACATTTTGTAGATTTAATAACAAAATCCTATATCAATAACGAGTGAGTTTTCTTTATATGGGACAGCAACGCCTTCTAGAATGGTCTCCCTTGCTCCCGTATGCGCTGCGTGTTTTTTGTCGCCTTCGCAAAACTTCTGACTGGAAAACAGTGGAAGATATTTTAGTCAGGCTGGACAAACATAAATACACCACATTAAGTTATACCAAATGCAAATGATGAGTGAAGATAACGATGACCAAAGTTTTATAAATTTTTTTCCTAAACAAAAAACCTAATTTTAAAAATTGACGTACAATCATTTTTCACCTGGGCCCTTTGTGGGCCTGCTCATATTACTAGATTTAGACGAATTTAGAGACTTCTTGTCGTACCTAATACACTGTTTAAAATTTCATGACCATTTTAACACCAAATTAACACCATACATGGTCTATATCGATACAAACCAAAATGGTGTTAAATATGGTTCGTTGGTCCAGTGTAAATTCAAATACTAAAATAGTGTAAATTTAACTTTCACACAGTATTAAAATAAATTTTACCTGGTGTAAATTGAACTCCTTTTCTGTGTTAAATATTATGCGTTTTTGGTCAAATTAAATCATACTACACAGAAAAAAAGGAAAAAAAGGAAACAGGAAGTTCCTTGACGCATTACTAGTATATTACCAGTGGTATTATTCCAAAAAATTAAACCTTTAACTCGCTAGAGATAATGTTTTTAGTGCGTTCCACCAACTTAAAATAGTTCAAGTATTGACAGCTGTTTCCACCTATTTAAGGTCTCTTTAGTATCGAACAACTTGTAGTGTCACACCAAAGTAAAGGACTATCTGAGCTTACATACTCATCATGTAAGTCAACAGAGGCGAGATTTAAAAACATCACGTGATCCACACCGCCTTTGTCGCGATCGGTACACACTATGCAACCAGGAATGCACGGCAAATTGTTTTAATCGTTTTAACAGAGTGCTTTAGGTTGAAGTAACATATTTAGTAAACTGAACCATACAGCGGGTTGGTTTCACTAAAGATTACTGGGTTAATTTAACCAGTTTAAAAAAAAATAACTATCTGGTTTAGTACCGTCAAACTAATCTTTGTTTATATTAACCTTTCTACAGTTGTGATTTTTCTGTGTAGGTGCACTTCTCAAGTATTTTTAGATAAACACCGTTTTGGTGTTTGCTGCATATAACATTTTCAACCATAATTCATTAACACCACCTGGTGTTGGATTTTGACACCATTTTAAGATTATTTTTTATACCACAGATATTTTAAACAGTGTATTATAAGTATACTTAAAATTTAAAAATTATAAAATTTATTTAGCAAAGCTATTTATTTTTATTAAGTAACACTTCAATAAGTACTTCACGAGGGCACTTGACATTGAAAAATCATTACCTACCTACGTATTTAAAGTGCCAGAAGCAAATTAATTGTCAGACTTCAATTTGAGCCGAATTAATTGAGCATTTTGTTCAAATTGGATTCCCACACATTAACAAACACCATTCGAACGTTTTATACGCGCATATAGAAAATTTATTTTCTTGTTTCCTTTAATTGTTAATCGATGCAAAATGTTTAATCCATTCGCCGGATTAATGCCGAATTTATCGCTGCACGTAGAATCAATTGATTTATACAGTGTGTTACCAATTGATTTATACAGGTTGTTATAAAGGGTCAACCAATAGCGATGAACAAACTTTTTTTAGAACAGCGACCATGAAAAAAATCTTCGGCATTTGCTGTCCTTGCTTCCAGTAAGGTTTAACGTCTCATATTGGAGTCGATCCACATGAAATCAATTTAAAAATAGGAACTACACCATCTATTTTTTAGATAATAATTTATCAAATACATTTGGCGTTGGTTCTTTCTGCAAAATAAAATACTGTAGAACAAAAACGAAATTTACGGAATACAATGAAAGATAGGAAAACGGTTGTGTACTCAAATACGATTAAATTTGTTTCAATACGTTTTTGTTTATTGGTTTTAATGTTTGTGATTAAATTCAAAAGTCAATAGAATGTTTTGTGGGTTTTATATAACAACGCAGTTTTTCTGTATTATTTGGCCAATTTTTGACAATTTGTTTGAATGTCAATATTATTATAACTCATCAAGGTTAATAAAATTGTATTTATTTTATGGATCTTTTATAGATTAACTCGTTTTCTTGTATATTTTCATAAACGTCTATTATGTATAGTCAATGAAAGAAATAATATTTATAGTGTTACCGCTTATGTTTAAGCGTTAAAAGTTAATAAATCTTTATATTATCACAATAACAATGGTTGGTTTAAGAATTTAGGAATATAAATACTGCATTTAATGAAATTCCAAAGTGTAAGGTGCAATATACGAGTAAGTGATATTTTCGTGCATTGGGTCTACATTTCTCCATAAAATAGTTTTAACTAAACAGCATTTATTAAAAAAATCTAACTTCTCTATTATGAAATAAGAATATCTGTATCAAAGGTAGGTTAATGTATTATAACAAAAAATATCATCTAATTTTGTATTTTAAGGTTAGAAAAATCTATTTTCACCAAAATAAATAAGTGGATTATTTGGAAGAGTGTGTTAATATGGTTCAAATTAAATTAAAGCTTTTGTACTTCTAATGACAAAACTTGTGCAAACCTCTCGGCATACCTACTTTATTAGATTATAAGAAAACAAACAATTTTTAGAGAAACTTGTAATGTGAAAGTATTTAGTACTCCCATGACATGTGATTTTCCTCGGATTTTTCGATGTAGATCAAGTTCAGTCGAAGCTTTTTAACTATTTGTATTGACAAAACTTTATGTGGGACACTTTAAGCTGGATAAGAAAAGCTACCTTATTTTTAAATACCATATTATATAATCCAAAATACTTACTACTATTTTATGGAGAAAACTAGATATTTGGACCAAATGCACACAAATATTACTTATTTGGCACCATACACTTTAGAATTTTATTAAATGCAGTATTTATATTCTTAAATTCTTAAACCATCCATTGTTATTGTAATGTTATAAAGATTTATACATTTTTATTTCCACCTTCTTAGTAAATGACATTTTATAGGTTTATTTTGTTGTTTTTGTATCCAAGTAAACGATACATTATGGGAACAGACCTGTAATATTTTACGGGCCTGTATAAAAAACCTGTAAAGTTTTATAGGCTTGTAGAAAAGCAGTTTATGAAATGAAATGTCACTTTTGACATATTAATTGAAATTTTAAATTTGAAAATCGTTATCTAAAGGTGAAAATAAAAGTTTGTACGTGTCACGCTTTGCAATTAATCTTTATTAGGCTCACTGTATTATGGGGTTTGCTCCTGCGTCGCTCACCCCACAAACTTCCAGCTCGCCTGTAAAGATTTATTTACAAAGCTTGACACGTAAATAACTATTAACGCCTAAACATAATATTATTTCTTTCGTTGACTATACTTTAAAAGATACATACCCTGAAAAGCCTTAAATGCCAAATTTTCAAAAGACTGCGTTCCGTACGTGGTCACGTGGTGGGACTTTGACGTGTGGAGCATAGTACTAAAAAGAATTAGGTAGCAACATGATATGAAAATTTTGTCTTTTCTACTCGCGCCGGCACTGCATGTTGATATTAATAACATATTATGTCATTTGCTAATGCTATTGCTATTAAAAAAAATCAAAATAATTAATAATATTTTTTTGTTTCAGTGGAAACTTAGGTAGCACCTCAAAGGTAATCTGGACGAAGTCAGCAACACAGGGGTGCAATGTTCGAACAGTGTATCCCCTACTCACACATTCCATCAGAAAGGCGCAGCCTTACTGACCAAAACCCCTTGCATCAGCAATTTTGCAAATCCAAAGAGGAAAATAACCGCAGAAAACTCGAAGATATTAGCAAGGAAATACTCAAGAAATATCGAAGAAAACACAGCCGGCTACATACAGGATCATTACAGTCCGCTTGGTAGAAGAAAACAGTTTTTAGAGAAAGCCAAGTCTGTCGATGAGCACCATAAGAATAAAGGTGCGGTTGTCCAAAGTTTGAGGGTTTGTAAGTCAATCCATAATTTTGATGAAATCGATAAGAAGTTTACGATTGGTAGGTTTTTGAAGAAGTTGGATAGCCAGGTTAAGTCAATCACCAAGAATAACAAAAAGACTGTTTGTACAAAACCTAGAGAAAATATTATAGATGGAGTTACTTTAACTTCCCACAAAAATATTTTGTTTACTCAAGAAAAAAAACTAAACGAGTTATTTTCTTTATCAAAAAAGATCGTATACATTGAAAAACCTCCAGCTCTACAAACAAGCACTAAGGAGTTAATTCTCAGGAAACCAAAGGCAATTGAATTAGAAGAACCAACGAAAGAACTTGTTCCAGTGGATTACTTCCGAAAAAAATCCAAGTTTTCTCCCCCACCGGAAGATTTTCCGCCACCCCCGCAAACACCAAACATATCCCGACTTGATCAACCCGCTCAATTGCCGGCTTTGGGCAGATCAAAGATGTTTCGCGGGAGTCTAAAACTAAAGGAACGGATGGTGTTGGCGCTGAGCGCGTTCGCGGTTCTTTTCACCTTGATTTTGGTGGTGGACCTGCAGATGGATTTGGGGATATCCGGGCAGCATCTGGTGGCCTCTCACGGTAAAATCAAGTATGTTGTGCAGGAGGAGGGACCTGGGTCTGCGTTTAATAGTTTCAGGAACAGACTGCTCCAAAAAACTCATAGGTGAGTAATTTGATATTTTTTTTCTTAATTTTTACTCAACCGGAAAAAACACTTTTCAAATAGGATTTTTAATTGTTTGTTTTTATTAAATATTACAACAAATTTACAAAAAATATTGTTGTTTTTAGAAGAATAAGTTAAATTGCAAAAACTTTTTTAACGTTTATTTAATTCTCCATTTTTGAGTTTTACAAAAAAATTAAACAAAACTAAAAAACACGTTTTAAAACACTAATAAGTATAAAATAATATAATTTACTTAAAATTGGTGTCAACTTGCCACATGCCCTTTGTTGAAACGCCCCACGTGTTATGGCATAGCCATTGAACATTAAAAAGTGAAAAGTTTATTAAAATACATATGTACCTATTTTAAGTAAATTTAATTATTTTATACTTAAAGTGTTTTTAAGTTTGGTACCCATGACAAGGAGTTTGTGAAAAAATAGGTTATCCGTAATCTTCTGGCGGCCGCCTTATTGGATTTAGTATGAAGTCACTCACCTTATCGTTTTCTACTCTCTACTCGTCAAACCCTTTCTTTTGATACCTAATTCAAGAAGGTTGTGAAGAAATAGTTAATCTAGGGGGTTATCCATATCAAATTTATTACCATCCAATTCTGAGCTATGTTTAAAGGATTAATTCCTCGTGAAGTTGGTTTTAAAATTTATCTAACAGACAGACAGACATGCCTGTTAATAATAATAGTTATTTATGTATCAAGGCAGTAAAGTCGTATTTTTTTTATCACGAATGTGGAAATTATTTGCCGATTTCTTTTACTTTACTGCCGATTTTTGACTACTTTACTGCCGATTTCGGATAAAATATTTAACATCTATTATAGATGATCTATAACTTTTTTGGAAATTAAGTTCGCCATATTTATTTGTGTTAGTTTTTCTTTTTTAAATCAACTTTCTATTTTTTATTTTCTTATAAAAAATAAATTACAAAAAATTATAAAAATATTTGTTTTGCTTCTAAAAAATAACCAAATTACAAAAATAAAATATAGGATTTTTTTCTGAATAAATTAATAATTTAAGTTTACTTGTTTTTTTCAAAAAGGTAGGTCGATTTTTTTCTATTTTTTATTTTGATCATAAAACAACATAAAAAATAAGTCATAAAATAATGTAATTTTGTTTTTTCTTTTGAAATAACTTTAACAGTTATATTTTATAAATGTTTTGAATTTTTCGTAAATATTCGTTAATTTTTAAAGTTTGCCATTTTTGTTATTTTTTTCGTATTTCATTGGTTTTTTACTAAAATTGATAAAAAATTATACCTTTTAACATGGATTAATTAAAATTATTGCCAGTATACTATAGCACCAAAATTTTAAATTTTCATTATTATTTACATTATATGACTTAATATTTTACAAAAAAGCAATGGTAGGTTAAGAGGTACAGTTGTTGACATATAAGTAATATAAAATAAAATATAAGATTTTTTTCGGAATAAATTAATAATTTAAGTTCAGTTCTTTTTTCCAAAGAGGTAGGCCAGTTTTTTTCTATTTTTTATTTTTATCATAAAACAAAGTTAAAACAACATAAAATAAGTCATAAAATAATGTAATTTTGTTTTTTCTTTTGAAATAACTTTAACAGTTATATTTTATAAATGTTTTGAATTTTTCGTAAATATTCGTTAATTTTTAAAGTTTGCCATTTTTGTTATTTTTTTCGTATTTCATTGGTTTTTTACTATAGTAAAAAAAAAATTGATAAAAAATTATACCTTTTAACATGGATTAATTAAAATTATTGCCAGTATACTATAGCACCAAAATTTTAAATTTTCATTATTATTTACATTATATGACTTAATATTTTACAAAAAAAGCAATGGTAGGTTAAGAGGTACATTTGTTGGCATATAAGTAATATAAAATAAAATATAAGATTTTTTTCGGAATAAATTAATAATTTAAGTTCAGTTCTTTTTTCCAAAGAGGTAGGCCAGTTTTTTTCTATTTTTTATTTTTATCATAAAACAAAGTTAAAACAACATAAAAAATAAGTCATAAAATAATGTAATTTTATTTTCTTTTGAAATAATTTTTTTTTCGTGTTTGAATGTTTTTTTACTAAAATTGTTAAAAAAATATACGGTTTAACATGGATTAATTAAAATTATTGCCAGTAATACAAAAATTTTAAATTTTTATTATGATTTACATTATATGACTGTATATTATATAAAAAAGCAATGGTAAAAGTAAATATTTATTTCCATAATAGTATATTATTATACGAGAGATAATGCAGGCTATTCACAAGGATAAGTGAATAATGCTCATTATTTCGAGTGTAATACTATGCTTTTTCTACTCAAATTAAGTTATTTTCATTAATAACAAAATGTATTATAACCTCACTTCCACTCGATTTTAAAGATCATTATAGTCGCCCCTCGTATATATGAAAAATCTGACATCTGTTAACCTTACTTTTTTTCATTTAAAACCCGATTGGTTTAAATAACAGTGAATATTGAAGTCAGCCAATGACTGATGCCTAACAACGTGAATATTAAGTTCATTATTCACGTTGTTGGGCAGGGCAGTAAAATACTGCCAGTAATATTGGTTACAATTAAAAAACCCAAATAATGTCAATAATATGCAAATTAAACTTGACAAGCTGTGTAGTTTAATCACGGGCTGAAGTTAGCAACAGGTTGTTAGTCACGGGCTGAAGTTAGTTTTAAGTTAGTTGACAGTTGTCAAATGTCATACAATCGTTAAAAGATATTGTAATATATTTCTTGAAAAAACATTTAATTTTGTTAAATTAAACATTGACGTGCAAGATGGTACATTTCCTTGTTAACCTGCGAAAAATGATATAAAAACTTGGTGTTTACTTATCTGGAAATTACGGTGTTTGTAAATTATCGATGTAAGTGCCTTAAGCGCCTCAAGCGGCATGCGCCACTTAAAGCTCCTCCCCCAAGGGCTTACCGAGGGATGATTTCTTTTAAAATAGTTAGTCAGGCTACTGTAGCCGCTCTAGAAAGGAACATTGTTAAATAATTAAGCTACCATTTAAGTCATTGTATTATTCAGCAGTTAACTGAATAAAGAGTTAAGTTTTACATACTTCGTGTTCAATTCCTTTCTACTAAGCATCACAAAACAAACAACTTTACATTGGTCCTTCGAACCGGATATATACATATCCAAAGCAAACTTCGCATACATACACAACGAGTTTTAAGTGCAGCGAACATTAATTTCAAATAATACGTAAAATACATCATAAACATCGAGTGCTAAGTGCAGCGAACATTCATTTCGTATCAAACGTGGAATACATCGAGCGCTAAGTGCAGCGTACATTCATTTCGTATCATACGTGGAATACATCATACATATCGAGTGCTAAGTGCAGCGTACATTCATTTCGCATCATACGTGGAATACATAATACACATCGAGTGCTAAGTGCAGCGTACATTCATTTCATATAATACGTGAAATATATCATACACATAGAGTGCTAAGTGCAGCACTGCATCTACACATACGCATTGGAATAAAACATCATCGTCGTATAGGATATCCCATACGAGTCAGAAAGTGAGTACCTTCCTTTACATACTATTTTCCTTTACATAAGTCAGTATTGATTCGCAATCAACATGTCAGAGTTAAGTAACTTAACGCGAAAACGCGGTAGTCTCAAAACTAAATTTACGAACTTTTCGAAATATTTAAAATTAGTGGAGGATGAACTGAAAAATAGAATTTCTACTGCTACTGATACAGGTAGCATCGCGTTATCGGAAGGCACTATAGCCGCTGTTAAAGAAACATTAAAGCGCATAACAACGGCATTTTCTGAGTTTGAACAAATTCAGGATGAAATTGAGCAATTAGTAATTGGGGACGATAACCTCCCCGAGCAATATGCCTACCGAGCCGATATCGATAGCACTTACCTTGATTTATATAGCCGATCACAAGAAATCGTTCTCGTACATAGTCCCAAACAAATTTTACCTAGTGATAGCAGTAGCAACGGCGAACCGCCGGGCTCAAACGTATTTGATCTAAGTAGTACGCGGTCAAGTTTTTTGAAATTGCCAACGATTCCATTGCCTATATTCGACGGTACTTTGCTAGACTGGTTAGAGTATCGTGAAACCTTTAACTCATTAATTAATAATAATTCTAAACTAGATCCCATTGAAAAATTCCACTATTTAAAATCATCAGTTTTAAAAACACCTAAGGAAATAATAGAAGGTATAGCGTTTACAGCTGATAATTATACCCTAGCTTGGGATTTAATCTGCGATCGCTTTAATAATAATAGGCGTCTCATTGATTCACACGTAGAAGCTCTTTGTAATTTGCAACCTCCTCAAAATGAATCAGCCTATTTATTAAGAAAGGTTCTTGATGGCATGAATAAAAATCTGCGTGCGTTAAAATTATTAGGTCAGCCTACTGAACACTGGGACACATTAGTGGTCTATCTCATTTCTCGTAAATTCGATGAAAAAACATTTAGGGCTTGGGAAGAATACAAAGCAGAGCGACCTGCAACTACAATTAATGACTTAAAAACATTCTTACTCAACAAGTGCGATTTGCTAGATTCTTTAGGTCATAAATCTACCCCTAATAAAAATAACTTTAAATCCATTAAAACTACCTCTAAGAATTTTTACGTCTCAAATACAACATGTACCATCTGTAAGGGCACTCATCCTACTTACAATTGCAAAGAACTAATACATTTGGCGCCAGCAAATCGCCTGGAGTTTGTCAAAGCTAAGGGGCTTTGTATTAATTGCCTTAAGCCAGGTCATAAATCTATCGATTGTAAATCTAGTAACTGTAGAAAATGTGGTCGCAGGCACAATACTTGTTTACACACAGATCGAACAGGTACACGATATTTACATGACATCAATCCAGAATCAAGTAGTGCCAATCATGAACCTACCTCGAATTTAGTTTCAACAAACACTAG